CCAGATGGGGAGATGAGCGATTACCCCAAGCTCATGGCCTTTGGGGTATCTTAAAGATAGAGTGACAGACCTCCATATTAAGACCAGTCAGAGGCAGGAAAGGTCGTCTTTGTCTCAGTACCAACACTTGAGGCTATGCCAGCTTCTCAGAACAGACCTAGTTCTGATATTGTAGAACAGAAAAAATCTGAGTGCTGGCTCCATATTCCCCATTCAGTGAGAAAGGTATTAATGTCTTGTCACTTGTCATCAGTTGGGAAATACTCAAATGCAGCATTAGTTAGTGAACCAATTTAGAATGTAATGGCCTATTTCTATGTATGCCATCAACTAAGCAAATGGCAGGGGAGTCACAATCCCTCAATTCATCACTCTTTGTGAGATAATGTGCCTTTCCTTCCTTCCTCTGTACTTTATTCTTACCTTTGTCCTTTTCTCCAGTATTTATATTGTACCCATCATGCGTGAGGTTCTGTGGCGGGTTCCACCTCATATTTATCTGGCTGCCAAATCTGTATGTTTTTAATTTTTTTTTTATTTTTGGAGACAGGGTCTCACTCTTTTGCCCAGGCTGAGTACAGTGGCACTATCACAGCTTACCGCAGCTCAACCTCCCAGTCTCAGGTGATTCTCTCACGTCAGCCTCCTGAGTAGCTGGAACTACAGGCATGCACGGTTAATAGGTTAATAACCATCTATTAATCAGTTAAAATAACCATACCCGGTTCATTTTTTGTATTTTTAGTAGAGGTTGGGCTTGAGTTCCTAGGCTCATGTGATCCACCCATCTCAGCCTCCCAAAGTGCTAAGATTACAGGTGTGAGCCACCATGCTAGCCCTGTTTATTTTTTAATTATTAAATGTTTTTTTCTTCTAAAATAAAAGAAGCGCACATCCTTTATAGAAAAATTAAAATTGTAGTAAAGCGTAAAGAAGTAAATCATAATTGCCCATAGCTAATTTCTAGGAAGCCATTTAAATAATTTAGCCTAGATTTGTTCCTGTATTCTCATCTATTTGAGATTCACCTACTCAAGATTTATATGCATGCAATTTTGTATCCTTGTTTGCTTAACATTGTATCATAAGCAGTTTCAACATCATTAAAAGTCCACCATAAACATAATTTTAATACCTAAAGTTGGTGATAAATACCTCAGTGCAGGAATCTTACTCTTTATTACAGATTTTCTTATGATAATTGCTTCTTAGAAGTGGAATTACCGTGGGGGATGGGAAGATACATTTTAGAATGTTCCTTGACACCACTAACGAATTCCTTTCCAGCAGTATAGCAAAAATCACACCACCAGATAAGAGCACTGATTTCATTGTACCCTCACTAGTAATGAAGAAATGTTTATTGATAAGCAATCTTTGTTAATATGACTGGTAAGGGGAAAAATCATATCTTTTAAAAATGTCTGGAGTTGGTATATAGTCTGAGACTCCAGATGAGTTCTTCTGCCAGTGGGGCAGATTTTACTGTATCCTGGGATGAGAGACTCCAACTCCACCTGCTGCCACTGTCCTTTTGGAGCTAAAAGATATCTACTTACAAATAATATTGTGAAAACAAAAGAATTTCAGCATAAGAAGGTGGCTGTTGCATATATTCTTCCTGGCACCAAAGAAATCTGTTTTAGAAACTTGGAAGGAAAATTGACCTAGAACAAGCTCATCTTGAAGGGGAAGTTGAGAACCTTACTTCATTTGTGTGAGTCCTGGGACCATATGGAGCTAGCTAAAAATGTCACTTGTAAGTACCATGCAGAAAACAGAAATGTCATTTTGGTGGAATATAAGTGTGGACCACTTTTCATAAGACTGTTTTATAAGTCGGATCTTGAGGCATCTGCAACAGAGCTCATAAAAGACGAGAATTTACAAGGGTTCCCAGACTCCCCACTGAATTACTATTTTGATGGATGTGTTATTTATCAAAGGCAAATATAAAAGTGCTTTGGAAATGTTGACAGAGATGAAAAACCCAGATGTGAAGTTCACCAGGATACCTATGCTCTGTCTTTTGCAGTTGGCTATAAACTGAATAGCTCTGAATCTTTCAAAGGCCGTACTACATAAAGAAAAGAAGCCCTAACCAAAGGATTTCTCTCCAGGAGAGCATCCTGTTTTCTGTGGCATTAGAACCAGGTGGCAAAAGCTATGTTCATTCTTTTTCTCACGTCATAAACCCAGAAAGCATAAAGTTCACTAATTTAAATATGATAATCCATATCCAGTCAAATATGTTAGCAACTGTGATAGAGATACTAAAGGCGTTGCAGAAGGAAATGTATCAAGATTCCTGGAAAGATGTGTGTCTTCAGAGGAACTGCTGGCCAAAGTGAGGAAAAAAAAACTGAAAGATGCGCTTGTCTTTGTGGTCAGATTTCATGAGATGTATGGAAAACTGCATATTGCTGTTCAGGTTACCACTTATACTTTGGATGCTCCGCTCTGCAACATCCCCAGAGATGGAAAATCCCACATGTTGCCATGAAACAACAGGATGGTCAGCTGTTAGACCTTCCAGCCAGTCCCTGTTGGCTGAGTAAACCCTAGTTTCAATCCACCTGTGGGTATGAGGGGCCTGCTTCTAGTGAGTTATTAGCTTCCCTAACAAACAGGCATTGCACATTAGCAGACAACTACACTGACACTTGATTTCCTCCCTAAATTCACTGAATGGTGGCATGCTGCTCTCTGAGAAGTTACGTGTGCCAATGTGAAGATCTAGATACCAACACAGAAAGTTCAGCTTCCTCAGAAAGCAGGCTTCCCCTGTGCACACTGCTGAAGATCCTTGAAGGAACATGGTCACTGTCTCCAGTCCAGCTTCCAGTAATGCAGTGGAACCCAGTAGGCACCATCAGGAATAAATTTCACTACAAGTGTGGTCAGCTCTGATTTTCAAGAGAGTAATTACTTGCAAATTATACTCTTGCTGAATTCAGGAGGTCCGAAACCCTGTTCTACCATGTCAGAAAATAGGCCAGGATTTCCTCACTGCTCTGCCTTCACGTATTCTGTAACATGACTCTTCATTTTCCTATCTACAAAATAATAGTGCTTATGTGTATTTGGATATAGATTTTAAATCTCCATTCAAGGTTTAGTAGGGTAAAATGTTCTTAAAAATAAAATCTGGATTTTAAGTTACTGAGATTGAATCTTAAAAAACTGCAAGTAAAACTTTAGGTTACTTAAAAATTCTCTATGATAAAAGTTGTATAAATACACTGGAGCCTGCTCTTCATTAACTCAATTAATAAAAGGGAAATAGCTTAAATCACACCTAAAGCTGCTATATCAGAGTTCTTGGTTGCAACACTGAAATCATTTCTGGCTGATTTAATCAGAAGATAAATATATTGCAAAGTCATTAAGTAGCATAACAAAGAGACAGAAGTTTCGCAAATCAAGCTTCTCACACAGGCAGGGAAGCTTAGCATCTGAAATTAAAACAGGTGGGTCATTACACCACTCAAACAGCCCACTTAGGACACCACTGGCATTGCCACAGTGTCTCCTCTGGCACTACTACTAACCCTGAACACAAAACCCACTTCACAGATAATGGAAGTATTTCTAAAATGTTTCTTCTTTAAAACATAGTCCAGATTCACATAACTGTACAGGAGTCTCTGAGGCTGACCCTGGGTCACAAAATGGTGAATATTGGGCCATATTGGCTTTTGTGAGAATTTGGATGCTAGATAGCAAGACCATGATCAATGACCATCCTAAATACGTATGTGGAATTTTTTGTTTCATAATGCTTTTTAGAAATCTGGTTAACCTTAATTATCACTGAATTTTAAATTGTCCGGTAGGTCGTAAGATTATCTGGTCCAATACTGTAAACTCAAATGCTTACCATATTCTCAAATGTCAGTGAGGTGGGGGTGTATGGGAGTAGTGGGGGCCGTGGAAAACTGAAGAGTGTCTTCACAGTCTAAAGGGGACCCCTGCTATTCAGCTCCAGCTGATGGTGCTAGAACTCACCATGGACCAAATGTTGTCTGATGTTACAATTTTACAGAAAATGTGAAAAGTCTGAATTTCTGTGAAATTTCCTAACCTCAAAATTCACAACCAACTGCAAAATAAGAAAAACAACACTACTGCTTCTTAAAAATCAAGGCTACAGGCTGACTCCAACAATCAAACTTCCTCATTTTAAAAAAACAATGCAGGGAGATGAGGCCTTAGAAGGTGAAATGCCTAAGACCAAATAACTCAGTTGGTGGCCGAGCCAGGGCTAGAATTTTGGTTTCCAGAGGAAAAGCTAAGAAAAGCCGGTGTTCCCCCACCCGACTCTGCAGTCATTTCTCTCACTTGGAAGTGAGCTACCAACCAAGCTCAAGAAAAGGACTCTACTTCAACCAGCAGCAACAGTCTTCATGAAATGTTTATAAATTAATAGAACCTGTCAAGCCAATAGAAACAGCTTTCAGTGTTGGATCAGAGTTTAAATTTTAGCTTCTACTGCTTTCTAGGTGAGTAACCTGAGATAAATTATTTTACTTCTCTGTCTCTTGTTCATGGAAAAAAACAAAAACAAAAAGCGAGTCTCTTTTATAAATAAGGTTGTAGCAGATGGAATAAGATTTCGTGTACAGACTACCTGACACAGAGCCAGAACCATAGTAAGAACACCGCCTAATCTAACATGCAGGAGATATCCTAATAGTTCGTATTTTCCAGGAACACATAGATTGGGGATGGGGAGGTGCTTCACAGTGGGCGTAGCCGGTTATGGATAAATATCAAAAAGGAATTCCTAATATGATGTAGAAGTGGGATTTTCACTCAAACCCTATTCTTCCCTAGACTCCAGTGACAGTTTAACGGTCAAAACCAGCTTCATCGAGGCTTGTGTGCTGTGCAGTCTTCAAAGGTACCACTCTGGTCCATCTTGGTGAAATTGATGGTGGAGCAAAAGGGGGTTTAGGTGGTTCCTGGCTGGGGAGGAGGCGTGCAGGGTTTCTGAAGCGAAAGTCGCACCTAACCGCTTCACTCTCGCTCTAGGCCCTCCGCAGGGACCCTGCTTCCACCTGCGAGCTTTTTCTGCAGACTGCGGGAAGCCGCCGCCGCCATGGAGGAGGGGGCGGAGGCAGAGGCGGAGGCGGCACCCAGGGGCCGGGGCAGGGGAGGCCGGGACCATCGCAGTGACAATTTCTTTTCCTGCAGCGGCGGCAGCAGGGACGGCTGCTGTAGGCTCGGGGTCGGTCGGCCTGCGCGTGGGTTTGCGAGGACGCTGTTCGTCCCCTGCGCTGGGGTGTCCGACAGCGAGGAGGAGGAGGACAGCGACGCACGGAGCCCCCGCGAGTGGAACCCGCAAAGCTCCACCGGTCGGCAGAGGAGAAGGGGGAGGAGGCACGGCCGAGGCCAGCGAGCGGGCGCCTCCTCGCCGGGTGCCGGTATCACCCCGCTGCAGCGCCTTCCAGCAAACGCCACCGCGGCCCGAGTTGCAGCGGCCAGACGGATGCCAAGGCCACACGGCAGGCGCGGGGGCCGCAGTCGCCGTCCCACGCGGGCCGCGGACAACGAGGGTTGCTGGTGAGTAGCGGCGCGCGCGCGCGAGGGAGAGCGCGCCCTGGCCGGGTAGTGCGCACGGCGGGTGCGTGTGCCCCGCGGCCTGGCGCGCGCCGGCCCTGCTTCCGCTGGCGGCGTCCGGTCCCGGGCTGGCTTTGGGGAGGAAAATGCACTTTGGCGGCTGTTCGCTTCCTTCCTGCCAGTCCTGCGATCGGCCGCCTCCACCGGGCCCTCGGGATTAGTTTCACCTTGATATGGAGGCAGGAAGCCCTGACTCCCGGCGGCGGGGCGGGACTGGCGGTGACCTGTACGTGGGTGCGCGTGTGTTTCTGGTTCAGCCGTGGGTTGCAGCCTTGAAGATGATGTCGACCTTCAGAGACACCACCGCGCTGTCTCTAGCGGCGCGGTGTGGAGGAGGGAGGGGCGAGGGTTAGAAAAACGGACCTTTATCCCGGCCGAGCAGGTGCCATGCCTTTCCAGATAATGTTACTTTTATGCCGTTTATGAGCGGCTAAGACATTGCCCCTCACCTGAATAACTTAAAAGCTTCACCGAAAGCCCCCTAGTGATATGCACAAAGAAATGGAATATCTCCAAAACGTATTTTTTTCAGTACTTTCTCTAAACCCATGCTGCCAATACCCACCAGAGCCTAAGGTACCATAATTGCTGAAGTTTAAAAGAAAATTTGTATAAGGAATAAGTAATTCAGGAAATGGAGCCCGATCTAGAGGTCTGAAAAAAACAAAATTTTCAAGTGCCTGGGAAGTGGGGTGGGGGTGGCTTGCTTTCTGGAAATCAGTGTTCAGTAATAAGTAAAGAAGACAGCTTTCAGAGTAAGCCCCAGTGAGCACACTGCTTTCCAAACATCCTGCTCATTACTGAGAATAACATGAAGTCCTGGATTTTAAGGCATTTCCGAAGACATAATGGATATCACTAGGATGCTGGTTTATGGTCTCATGATTGAAGACCCTGTCAAAGTGAGTAAGGTAGATTTGTTCCAGCAGATAAATTACACCTGAATGTTTGGCCGTTTCAATTTTTTTGAGGGTAGCTTTTGACGGTGGTTTTACACAGAAATTAAGGCACCATGTTTTGTTTTTTTCCCATCCTTGTTTCCACTAGCAATTTTGTGTTTTCAGGATGGATGCTACATTACACTTCAAAAATATACTCTGCCACTGGATTATAGTGGGCATTGTGTAGCTGTACTATACATATCTTTATTTTTAATACAAGTTAATGTCGTTGAGCAGTAGGCTCTTTTTGTTTACCATTTGCATCGTGAGAGCTTCTTCATTCAAAGGCCTAAAATGTTATCGGAATCTACCTGGAAAATGAATTGGCTGCTTGTTTTCTGTTCAGACGTGCATACAGCGAATTGTGTGCCACCAAGAATCTGCTTTTGAATACACTTTAGCTGTAATGTATGTAGCAACTGGTTCTTGGGAATATCAAGAAGAAACTTCTTTTCTTATCCCCACCTGTAAAATAAGCACCAAAATTTAAATTATAAGGCAGATAACCTAAGTCCTTTAGCCCTATCTCAACTTTCAAGGCCTGTTTCTTGGTACTCTTGCCCTGTTTCATAGGATTCTTATGGTGTGGGAGGTTTGGAGGGAGCAGCGAGGGACCTGTGTCCTGAGGGTGTCCTTAGCAAAGAGATTTGCTTCTGGAAAGGAGGGTGTCTTTGGGGTTCGTTCCTAAGAAGGACTGATAAAAATAGTGATAAAGAATTATTAATAATAGTTCCCTCTTCTTACTTTCAGCAGGTAAAACTTAATTAACACCATTTGATCATTTCCTTTCTTTAGACCCTTCCCAGCTGTAAGAATTTACAGGTACAATCCAAGAAATGAGATTGCATTTTAAAAGAAAAGAAGGCTGATAATTCTTGCCCAAAACATGAGAAGTAGAAGCAATGTGAGAGAAAATAATGTAGATTCTTCCCAGGGAGTGCTAGGTGCTTTCCTGGTGGGCACATTTACCAATCAGAGACATTTTAATTAATCTACTGGATTTGTGATTCTAATACTAACATCTTTTTCTTGACCTTTTGAAAGATTTATAGATGGCTTCAACTGAAACTACAGGAAATGACTCATGGTTATTACTGAAGATATTAGAGCCAGCTTTCCATTCCTTAGGGTTGATGCATAGCAGCTGTTTGATAATATTTGTTAAATAAGTGACAAATATTAGAATATCTTCCTAACCAAACTGCATCACCTCTTCTGCTGTTGTTTTCATCATAACCTTATATGAATCACCAAACATTTCATCAAATTGAATCCCAGTTCATATAATCAACTAAGAAGGCCAACATCATCGATTGAAGAAACAATAACAAAAACAAAACGCAACTCTAAAAACAAAAGCAAACAAAAAAATACTATTGGTACCTGTTGACTTGCTTATTCCAGCTATCTGAACATGTGAACTGTCCAACTGAACGTGAGTTGACATCAGAATGTTCAACTCGGGAATGATCTGGATGTAGCTACATCTGGATGTGGCTTTTGTCAGAAATTATTTGCATTTCTAAGCAAATCAGATTAACTTCTAGTACAATCTTGCATCTCTGCATGCCAAGTGGACAGGCCAATTTAACATTTGGCATATTGCTGAGTCTTCAAAGCACATATTGTTTGATTTTCTTTCTAACTTTTAAATTAAATCCATGTTATTTTTGTCCATTGATGTGGTTGGTTTAGAGCAGGCGTCCCCAAACTAAGGCCCGCGGCCCACATGCGGCCCCCTGAGGCCATTTATCCAGCCCCCCGCCGCACTTCAGGAAGGGGCACCTCTTTCACTGGTGGTCAGTGAGAGGAGCACGGTATGTGGCGGCCCTCCAATGGTCTGAGGGAGAGTGAACTGGCCCCCTGTGTAAAAAGTTTGGGGATGCCTGGTTTAGAGACATTAAATCAGACTGGTGGTTACTTAGTAACTTGCATTTATTAAAAGCAGCCCCTTGATATAAGCAGCAATTATTCTTATATTTTGATTTGCTCTAGTTAACCTTTCAAGGTACTCTTTCGGAAATGGGTGCATTGTTTGGTCTTGAATATTAAGGATGTTATAACTCCTTTTTCTGTTTTGTTTTGTTTTGTTTTGTTTTACTTCTGACTTTCCATCTCCCATCATTAGAAAGTCTCCCAGTTTTCGGGTTTCAGTTTCAGGATGAAAGATTAGAAAGCTATCTGAAATTTAGCTGGATATTAACCTTCTAGTGGGTAATCATAATGCAAATTTATCCTTGAAATTCTTCCCTTTATATCCTTCTCTGATCAAGCTTGTTTCATTCTGAATAAAAGTAAAATGAGATTCTCAATTTTTTTAAAATTTGGCTATGTCCAAAGATAAATACATAAAAGTAAAATATTATGTAAAATAAAAAACTGCTTATCACTGTTCTGAAGTAGCACAATCAATGCTATTCTCTGCATAAAGAAATGTGGCCATGTCTGCTAAGTATTTATTTGATAAGTAGGCACTTGAGCACTTGAACAGGAGTTAAAAGCAGGTGTCCTCCATGTCTGATTAAGGCACTTGAAAGCTAGGAGTGGAATTTTGATTTCATGTGATACCCAATTGTAGGTTCCTTGAAAGGGAGCAAGTGAGGAAAGTACCTTGTCAGAAGAGCACTTTGGCAATTGGGTGGAGAGTGGATTAGTTTTAGGGAGTGGAAGTGATAATACAGTGTCTTATGGTGACAGTCTGTCCTCAGATCCCAGGGACATTGAGATGGATAAAAGAAAACCTCAGGTAGATGTCGGGATTCTTTGTTTTATGTGAAAGAGAGATTGAAAACCTGTGGCACAAGTATGATCATTAATACCTTCCACACCCACAGACACATCAACAGTGAATTACAGCATTCTTTCCTGCTGAAGCCTGGTATAACCTCAGAATCTTGCAAACATTTGACAAATATTTATTAATAACTATTAGTTATTGAAGATGTGCTATATGCCAGGCACTGTACTAAGCCTTAACACAAGTTTATCTCAGTGATGATGGAGTGGTTGGAAACGGGATTTTTTTTTTTTTCTCACTAGTCACATGTCCTTGGACAAGTTACTAACTTCTCTGAGTCTCCGTTTCCTCGCTTTTCAATTGAGACATTAGTTTCTACCTCAGAAGGTTTTAGGGAGGAAGAAATAAATAGGTGTAAATGCATAGCATTTAGAACAATGTCTGGCACCAAATTAAGTGCTATATCTGTCTGTTGTTATTCTTGTTATTACTCTTTAAACAATCTTATGCCTAAGTACCATTTTGCAGTTAAAAAATTGATGTACAAAGGAGCTATGTGAATGGCTCAGCATCGTAGGCTGGTAAATGATACAGCTGGCTGTCAAACCCAGACAATATGACCCCAACACCTCCTTTCCTAACTTGTATGGATCCTTGTCGCCTATCCTGCATGCCAGGTGCTGGGGATACTGATTGGAGCAAGAAAGGTAGGGGCTTGCCCTCATGGAACTTCAGTGTTCCAATCCTCTCCAATGTAGATCTGCTGTCTCCAATGTAAAATTAGTAGCCAGATTATTACTGTTTTACCTTGATGTTTTGGTATTTTGTAAGTAATGTTTTTATTAAGTTCTTTATTAAGAATTGCTCCAAATTGTGTTTTCATATATGCTTTTGAAAATGGATTATTTTCTGCTTCTTTAGCCTAAGACAGTTGGCATATGCAATACTTATGTCTCTCCTTATACTCTGGCTGCTTATGCCTCCCTCATATAACGTATCAGATTCTGGGGAAGATTTTAGTATTCTGAAAAACTTCTTTGCCATCCACTTCCTCCCACACTCCCAGTCTTAGATATCTCCCATTTGTAAGCTGTGGTGGAGTGATAATGACATTTCTAACCATCTTTTAATTCAGCTTATTCAGAATAATTTATAGAGTAATGGCAAAGCAAATTTTAGCTGTTCTTTGACCTGTCAAAGTAATTATGTCTAATTATAAGAAGCCAGGTTTAATTTATAAGTGGGAAGACACCTGTGGCAGTGAA